GGTTAAAGGTCAAAAAATAATATAGATAGAGCAGATTCATGAAAACTTAAATAAGTTAAAAATTGACCGTCCAAAAATTCTGTATAAGATACACTATTTCAAAAACTTGAAATCCATTTATTTCTCAAGCTTATGCGTCTTGATGTCGAGATGATCAATTTGAGGATATTTGGGTATTAAAACCTTTTTTTTTAATAAATTTTTTTAGGTAGGCTTTATTTTGATTGTTAGAGCCTAAGCTCAATATAAACTTTTCCCTTAAAAGATTTGGCAAATGGTGGTGTCCTGAGTTGTGATTCGAAAAATCACTACTCCGGGCGAGTACCTGGCTCATGACCGATCCGAGTAATCAGCCTGAGTCCGAATAGTGCTGAGTACTATAGCGGTAAAGAAAAGGTTTATATATATATATATATATAAAATACAAAAAAATACGAAATGTGTGTTTAAAGATTAAACAAAGCACAAAATGAGGTTAAAAAAATCATTAAAAGGGAAAATTACATAAATATCCGTTATATTTTTTGTTATTAAGAAAATACTTTAAACTTTTTGTTATTACACATATGTTCGTCTTTTCAACTTCCTAGTGTTTTTTTTAAAAAAACAAAATTGCCTATTTTTGGTTTTTGAAAAATCGAATTTTTTAAATATCAATATTATATATATCCAAATATTTGAACTTGGAGTTAAATTGGTGTTTTGGTTATTATGCATGCCTCTACAATTCCATGTCAAGGGTTTGAGTCCCCTGATACGTATTATAATTTTTTTCAATAAAAAATAGATGTTTTTTTTATTAAAAAGAAAAAAAATAGATATTTTTTATTTTATTAAAAAGAAGAAAAAAAAGCACCATCATGAAATGGGCATGGCTTTTCGGTTATCATACTTGCCTCTACACTTTCACGTCAAGGGATCAAATCCCGCCAATTCGCAATAAATTTTTTTTTCAATAAAAAGCTGATGTTTTTATTTTATTAAAAAGCAATAAAAAAGTCCATATAATTTCATACCAAAACCTCTTGAACAAAACCATATAATATTACCAATATAGTGATAAAAGTATCGCATTATATACATACCTTTTTTTTATTATTAAGTTTTTTAACTTGCCAAGTTATAGGCAATAAAATTTGATTTTTCAAAAGTTCAAATTTTTTTAAAAATTGGTTTCTTGAAAAACTGAAAATGAGCAGTTTTGCCTTTCTTTTTAAAAGTTTTGCCTTTCTTTTTTAAAAAAAAATGTTATGAAGTTGAAAAAATGGACATTTAAATAATAACATAAAGTTTCAAGTATTTTCGTAATAAATGAAAATATACAGATTTTTATGCAATTTTTCCTAATAAAAAATAGATTTTTTTTTAAAAAAGGTTTGATAGAGCTGCAACCCTATAAAACCCCATTTTATAACTCATCGAAAAACTGCAATTCAAGCATTAAAAAATCTTTACATTGATCATCTCGACTTGAACATTTTGGAACTTCGTCTATCCAATGACACTCTTATAACCACCAAATTTGAAATTTGAAGGACAAAAATAATTATGGCTTCTATGTACAAAAGTAAACAATCTCTTTCTAGACACTCTTATAGCCACCCACCCATTTAATGCATACGCTGAAGACTTAGCGTGGCTCTACCATACTAAGCTTTAGGAGTCTCAACTTCAGAACCTCCCATTGATGTCCTGGCCTTCCAAGCAAGGGTTGGTTCAGTACCTAGCCTTTTTGAGATGGGCCTCAAAAGACCAATGGATCATCAAGCCCATTGACAAGCCTTATAGCCATGCTCACTAGGTCTATACAATACATTAGAAGGCTAATCCATTTGAGACAAAAGAAATATAGCATGCACAACAATTTCGCTACCTAAAACTTCATTTTCTTAAATAATTTTATCATAACACTATTTCAACAGATCCAAGAACACAAACCCATTCCACAGGCTATGCAATAGCATCGATGCAAGGAGGTTCCTCAACCTCAAAAACTGCCCCCATCACCAACCCCAAAAACACAAGTGGCAACAATCTCTGCAAATTGAAGTGAACCACTGCAAAGGCCAATGAGCTCACGGCCACTAAGCACCAAACCGGTATGTATCGGGTCAAAGATGGCAATAGAAACCCTCGAAATATAATCTCTTCCCATATTGGAGCACAAACCGAGACCATTATGGAATAAAGGGCCATGGCCACTGGATCACGAGCCATTATCGATCTCTCAACGCTAGAAGCTGAAACTGGGTTTGGAAGAGGAAGGAGTTTGAGGTTAATTTGAGAGAGGCAATTAACAAATGGGAAAAGGAGGCAACCCAAGCCCACGTCAATGTGCCAACTCCCTTTAAGTGTGAAGGAGAACCAATGAGCAGGCAGGGGCTTGAACCTGGCAAGGCATCGATGGAGGATGACAATCCCTGTGAGGCCCTCAACCACGTAGGTTAAGAGACTGTATAGGGCTTGGCCTCTATATGTCAGAGCTTCTTTGTTTACACCTGCTGCATGGGCAAGGAATGGTACAATCCATGACCCAACTAGCCAAAAGGAAGCAATCCACAAAAACATGACCTGAATGAATAGATAAGATTTCACCGAGAATAGAAATAAGATGAGAAATTTCTTTCTATTTGTGAATGATGATGATATTGGTTTTATGTTATAAAAGATGATGCTGGTGTTGATGTCACATTCACTGCTAACTAATGCATACCGGAAAAAAAAAAAAACTGCTCATGTTGTAAGGATGATGGTGCTCATGATATAATGATGATGGCGATGCCAAATAATGAAAAATTCATTACAGTAACATTGCGCATTGAATGTGAGTTTTATGTTAAAAGGCCACCTTTTTAATTTCAGAAAAATTCAAGATCATAAGACCTAGAGAACAAGTATCTGACCTGGAGGATGGTCTCTGCAGTCCATGGCACTGTCCATGGTTCACCTTGTAATATTCTCTGGTTTGCATCTAGTAGCTGAAACAATAGAGAAAAAAACTGAACTTAACCCATCATCGTCATCAAATAAAGATCATGAATACGAGAAGAAAAAAGAGTTCAGTAGTGCAAGTTGAGAGTTGGACATGGAACCAATGGGTTATGACATGACATTTGAGACAACAAGCTCCACATGGCTAAAGGCTACAGCACTTTGGCTCCCCCAAATTTTAAGGACTAAATCACCACGGTATTCCTCTTTATTGGTTTTGTTATTGCAGCCTAGGGCTTCTTAGGAGGTCATTCGAACAAGTAGTGATATTACACAGGGATGTTAGATGGGATGTAGTGCATGTGCGCTTGTTACACCCAAAAGCTTCCATATTATGTACTTGAATAGATAATCAATCTTGAACATAAGCAGGACCCATCCAAGTAGAGCTTACTGTATTTGTGGATAGGCTATCAAAGATAAGAAGGTATCCTGCCAAGGAAAATTGACATCCCTACAAGAATCACTAGCTTTTTATGCTTCTTATTCTTCAAAACCTTAAAAGTAAACATGTTCATTTTGGGGTTAAATACCGCTTAGGCGCATAATGCCTTAGATACAGTGCCATAGTTGAGAAAAGAAAGGGTCCAGGCTCCTTTCTGGATATAATGCAAAATGCTGCTTATTTGCAGGTTTCTGCATTGTGGAGGGCATGAGATTGTGTCTCACAAACCACTGAGCAGTGACATGCCACCACATTACGACCGTACACATTCTGGAAGCAATTCCAAAAGCAGAATAAACTCATATACCCAATGTAAAGAACTAGAGTGCTGAGGTATCACATGATAGGCTACACTTATTAAGCAAAACTATGAGCACATTATGTGGGTGGAGATTGCTATGGGAACAGACTAGGATTAGCAGCTGAGATTCATATGGATTAGGCTTTACTTTGAAATTAGGTATGAAAGAGGCTGAATAACAAAGCACAAAGTGGCCAAGTCTCACAATACCGG